TTCTCTAGAGAGAGATTGAAATGGTTTCTTCTTCTTCTTCTTCTTGTTTTTTTTCGTGTTTTTGGTTGTTGGTGGTGTTATCTATTTTGTGTGAATGTTCCTTTGCGTTTTTGAAAGTCTTGTGGTGATGCAGCGTTTGATTAGAGGCTTCCAAGTCATTCTTGTTTGTCATAATCATAGAAATTCAATCCATCAATCCAATTATAGAACAAGCACCATTGTAGGTTGGTGTGTTGAGGATTGTTAAAAGAGTCTCATATTCGCTAATTTAGGAAATGATCATGGTTTTATAAGTAAGGAATACGTCTCCATTGGTCTATGGCCTTTTGGGGGAACCAAAAGCAAAGTCACGAGAGCTTATGCTCAAAGTGGACAAATATTATACCATTACGGAGATCCGTGATTCGTAATATGGTATTAAAGTTGTGTACTTAACTTAGTCATGTAAGATGTACTTTGTTCGAGGGGAGTATATAGAGACAATATCATACCAATGTCAAGATCCGTGATTCCTAACATGGTGCACTCAAGTGCAGTATTCAGTACATCTAGAGATGGATAGTTTTTTTTTTTTTTTTTCTTTCTCTTGACCAATTATGTGAGACATTGCTTAGCTAGAAGGTTGAATTGATAGTATAGTTGACTTAATTCAGTCATCGTAGAGAGTGTGTTGGACAAAACTGTTCTCTAATGTTACCAACTATTTTAACAATAGTTTAGCTGATTGTGAAGGGGGGAAATCATCAAAACTTGATTTAATTATGGTAACAACAATCGGGGAAATTCTAATTTCTTTGATTGACATACGAACTATTAGTACATTATCAAACTCTGGGAAGCACAACGGCTACCGTCATCAATTGTCGAACTATTTGTGTCATGTTATTTGTAAGAGACTATTTTTGTTGGTATGAGATTTTTTTAAAAAAACTAAAAGCAAAAGTCATGAAAACTCCTCACATTACTAGTAGTGAAAATCCATGGTAGAGCTTTATTGCTTTCTCAAGTGTCGAATAAAGAAGTCGGGAGCTTTGAAGATGTTGTCATAGTAAAAATATGTAGTAGAGCTCTATTGCTTCCTCAAGTGTGAACAAAAAAATTGTGAGCCTCGAAGTGTTGTCATAGTGAAGGTCCATGGTAAAACTTTATTACTTCCTCAAGTATTGAACAAATAAGTAGTGAGTTTCGGAAGTATTGCTATGGTGAAGATCCATGGTAGAACTCTATTAAACTAACGAGGTGTACACATTCAACAATGTAAGTATGAATCAAGAGGTAGCAAGAGAAATTTTGGGTCAACCTCATTTGGACATACGTAAAGGAGTTTTGGTGGAAAGGGTTAGGATCGCACGTCAATAATGACTCCAAGTATGTACAGTATTAGAGAATAAAGAAGACAAAAAGTAAATTTTCAAAACACAACCTAAGGGTATATATATGGTTAAATTTATATATTCTTCTACTGTATATAACTTATCTACCATATATAACTCTACTAGATACAGTGATTTACTATATACAAATGTTTACTATATATGATCAATTACTATATTTGTCATCTATTATCTTATTGTGTATAACCCTTGAATAAACTATAAATATGCAGCAGAGTGCAGACACACGCGCCAGATGCAGAGGTAGACGCAGACGCATAGTGACTCATGATGGGCTCGAGCCGTGTGGGCTTGAGCCTATTTTATTTATTGTTTTAAGGTTTTGGGGTTGGGTTGAGGTAACCCAATAATTTGAACTTTGAACTCGAATCAGATTGGATTCCAAGGCCAATCTAAACCCAAAATCCTTTTAAACTCAACCCAACCCGCAACCCTTATAATTCGGGTTAAGTTTTCGGGTTAGTGGGTTGGATGTACACCACGACCTCAAATGTCATGTCAAAAATGAAGGCACCAATCAGAAGGTTCCACGTGCCATGCCAAGAGTGTGACTACTCCAGGCACGTGTGAGGTCCTTTTTTTTTTTCATTCAACTATTTATCATCAACCTTAATTTAACTTGAATTAGGACCTATTAAGATTTTTTTAAACAAAATTGCAACGAAAGAGCAAGTTTTGGAAGGCACGTATCCCCAAAGTAAGTAATCATTAGAACTTTCTTCAAATAATACTGGTAGGGCCTAGACATGCTAGCATGCGAGCATATATCTTGCTTAGGTGGTTAGAATATACAGGATTAGGACCTTAGAAAGGCCATTTTAAACGGGAATGCGTTGTATGTTATGAAATTCTATTGAAATGCCCCTAGGATACGAAGAATAGGGTGTTAGAGCTTGAACGGTTTCCCATTGACCTAGGTCAATACGTTTTTCGGTAGACCAAGCACCTTATGATCGTAAGTGGCGATTAGTAGTTGAAATCATAATGCTCCCAAAAATTAGAATACCCTCGAGGAGGTAGCCCCCAACATCTTAGAAATGTGACTCAGATCGATTATATATGATAGCGTGACGAGACAATTTAGTTACTATCATGTGTAGCAATGAGTTTAAGATTGAGGTCGCGATTCCGTAAACCAGTCTTGAGAGGAACTAGGAATTACATGGGTAACTAGCTTACGATGAGTGCCCTAGTGTGTGTGGAAATGCCCCCATGCCTTTTGAAGATGGTCATGTCGTTGAAAATCCAACTAAAATAGACGAGTAAACACACAATAGAACTTAGTATCTAGCGAGCACAAAGGGTCGCTCCCCCAAACTTAGAGTGACTTTATGGCCTCGTGGAAGGGTCTGAAATGAGTGAACAAATGACTTTATGGCCAGAAATGAGTGAACATTCTCCCGACCCAGAATGAGTTTATGTCTTTATGATGAATACAAGAACTATTTGGAACTTCGAGACCTTCCTAGAAGCTCCGTTAGCTGTAAAATTAAGACCGAACTTCCTAGAGCATAGAGAAAAGCCCATAGTAATTTACTAAAAATGAATGCAATGGGATCCTACAACTAAGCTTTATATTGAGTATTTTTATACTTGACATCAATAAGGGGTCATCCCGGGACATCAGTTTTGTCTGTGTAATTTGCGTCTTTATTTTCTTTGAAGTTTGTACCCCGAACCCTATTCTGTTCGTAAATAAACTTCAACCGCACCAACTTGAATGTTGTGTTGTGTTGTTTATTTTTTTTTTTCGCCGTAGTCGAGATTCGATTCCTTAAAAATTAGGTCATGACAATGATAGAAAAATTGATGGAGGCGATTCCAAAAGCCTTGTGCCTTGCTCGAGAATGAGATTACTCCATTAAAGAAAAATATAATACAAATAAACTTTATTTCCACTAAAAGTCGATTCGTCAAGTAGAATCTTGCTGTGAAATTGAAAAACGTTCATCAACGAACTAAAAAAAAGGACAAAAATCGTAAAAGATAAAAAGTAAAAAAAAAAAAAACTCTTATTATGAAATTAAAAAACACTTTACCGAGTTTACCGTAATTTAAACAATTTCATTTTTAAAAACATAACCAATAAGTACACATTTTTTTTGACACGTATAAGAAATCTTTCTACTCGAGAAACTTAATGAAGAATGTAACAAATTAATATAATCTGCTAAATTTAAAGTTTAAATCAATGAAATTAAAAATTATAGTGAAAAAAAAAACTCTTATTTTTTTATTTTATTGCTCCAACAATTAATATTAAAGTTAAAATTCAGATGTCTTAGTCTTGCTTGTTGGGGTCGGTTGACAGGGACGGGACGTCAACCAATTAAGTGGGGGAGGACCATAATTATGGGGAATATTGATTTGTAAAATAATTTATTTATTTATTTTTAAATATTTAATTAAATTTACTGTTTATTTCAATATATATTTTGAAAATTTAGTTAAAAATTATTTTTAAAATTGGTCCGAGAATAAATAATAGAAAATAGACCTAAAATAATAAAAATATTCTTGAATTTTCAGTATAAAAAATAGTCCTAAATTTTAAAAACTTTCAATAATATCATTAATTTTTTTTTTAAAAAAAATACTGTAGTTCAAACGGTTAATACTATATTTCAAAAATATCCCTTAATTTTCAAAAATTTAATTAATACTTTTAAACTTTTTTTTTAATTTCAAAAATACATTTAAATTTTTTTAAAAAAAAAAATTTAAAAATACGTTTGTACCTCGTTTTAAAAAAAAAAAATTTAAAAATACGTTTGTACCTCGTTTTAAAAATACTCTTAAACTTTCAAAAAAAAAATATTATTAAAAAGTTTGGAGATAATTTATGATGATCCATAGACAGTTTTCATCCATATATTTACGGTAAGAATTTTTAAATTTTTTTATAACGATAAAATGGGTTAATGCTATTTTTAAAATTGTATGACACAGTAATAAATTTTTTTTTTTTATAAAAGTTCAAAAGGGTAATTTTGAATTTTCATAAAAATAAATAAATGTGTAGACATTTTTTTTTAATTAAGAGTATTATTAAAATTCCTTAAAAAAAATTTTGAACAAAATTTTAATTAATTTAATAAAAAAATATAAAATTAAATATTATATATATATATATATAGAAAAATATATTTTTTAAATTATTAATAAATTTAAATTCATTTTAAAAAAAATCTATATAATTTAAATTATTAACAAATTTTTTTTAGTTGGTTGAAAAATTATGAAACTTGATTGGTAGCCAGATTAGAATGTCCGAAGTGCTGTCAAGGAGTCGGATTGTTTGAGAATGCCGTCCCAATCGGACGGTCGCTAAATATGGGCGAAAGACAGATAGCAACAAGTACACTGACTTATGGAAGGGATGCATTTATTAGATAAAAGAACGATACAGACTCTGTCCGTTGCTCCGATGATTCATGATAACTCGATGGATTGTACGACCATCGTGCCAACAACGCATCATTCAAATTTATGCCTTATTAACTTTTCCATAAAATTTTCTTTAGTTCTAATGGAATGAATAATTGAATTTTTAAATGAATTAGGTTAGATTGAATTTTTAAATATCAAATTCCCATAAAGAAACAGAAAACAAGAACAGTAGATGAAATGGAGAGATGATAAAGCAAGCGCACTCATTGATTCAAATTCCCAACGAGCTCCAGTTCATCACAGCCATTACCAGATTCCAATTCCGTTCATCGATCCATCATTTCTCTGCCTTCCAAATCAGACCGCTGGGGAATCTCACTTCCACACGTTCCCGGAATCATCGTCGCCGGTCGCCCATGGCCGCCTCCGCCGCTGGTAACCCTTCATCCTCCTCTTCGTCCTCCTCCAACCCTTTCATTTTCTCCCCCGATTCTCCCCCTAGACTCGCTCTCACACCCCATCAGATTAAGCTTTGTTCCGAAGCTCTTGAGGCCTTCAAGGAGAAGCTCCAGATGCCTGATGTCATCAACCAGGAGTTCGCCCGATTGCAGGTTCGCCTTTCATTTTAATGCTATATTTGTTTCTCTTGTCCCTCTGAGAAATACATGGAGATTGATCTAGTTTGTGGTTAATTTCTGTTTACTGTGGTTTATCTTCTTAAGAAGTTGGACAATGATCGATATGTTCATCTAGTTTTAGAATTGATAACGACATTATTGAGTTTTGTAAGTGATTCTACTTTTTTGCTGATGAAATTCTTAAAACTTTGCTATGGAAGTGTCTAAATGAGGTTCTAGTTCTGTTAATAGATTTGAAAGTTTGAGTGGGTTGATCAATTTTGTGTATCAATGTCTTGGATTTTGTCTCAGCAGCATGTACACTTTGTTTAGGTAATGTGTCCATGTCGGACACTCTGATGCTTCAATACTTGTTTGACAGCATTTGTTAGCACTGTAAATATATGTCAGACACTAGTTGTGCAAAGTGAATACAAATCTAATATTTGTTAGACACATGTAGAATACTTTTTAAGCATGAAAATTAGAGAAATATAGTAACGTAGGATGAGAATAATAGTGTGAGATCCCATATCGGTTGGGAAGGAGAACGAAACATTCTTTATAAGGGTGTGGAAGCCTCTTCCTAGCAGATGCATTTTAAAAACCTTGAGGGGAAGCTCGAAAGGGAAAACCCAAAAAGGACAATATCTGCTAGTGGTGGGCTTGGGCTGTTACAAATGGTATTAGAGCCATACATCGGGCCATGTGTCAGCGAGGTGGTTGAGCTCTAAAGGGGGGTGGAAACAAGGTGGTGTGCTAGTAAGGATGCTGGGTCCCAAAGGTGGGTGGTGGATCGGGGGGTCCCACATTGATTGGAGAAGGGAATGAGTGCTAGCGAGGACACTGGGCCTCAATCCGAAGGGGGGTGGATTGTGAGATCCCACATCGGTTGGGAAGGAGAACGAAACATTTTTTTATAAGGGTATGGAAGCCTCTCCCTAGCAGATACATTTTGAAAACTTTGAGGGGAAGCTCGAAAGGAAAAACTCAAAGAGGACAATATTTGCTAGCGGTGGACTTTGGCTGTTACAAATGGTATCAGAGCCAGACATCAGGCCATGTGCCAGCGAGGAGGTTGAGCTCTGAAGGGGGGGTGGACACAAGGTGATTTGCTATTAAGGATACTGGGTTCTGAAGGGGGTGGATTGGGGGGTCCCACATCGATTGGAGAAAGGAACAAGTGCCAGCGAAGACACTGGACTCCGATCCAAAGGGGGGTGGATTGTGAGATCCCACATCGGTTCGGAAGGAGAACAAAACATTCTTTATAAGGGTGTGGAAACCTCTTCCTAGCAGACACATTTCAAAAACCTTGAGGGGAAGTCCGAAAGGGAAAACCCAAAAAAGACTATTTGCTAGCGATGGACTTGGACTGTTACAAATAAGCTTCCAATATGAAACATATCCAACTCATTTTTTTAAGCCTGCAAGTACATAAATTTCTAGTTCTCACGCACTGTTGTTGAATCATTTTTTCTATGTTCTAATTTTCATGAACTGTGTTGTCTCATTGTGGATTCAGGCCCAGAGAATAACCGCATCGGATATGAAGAAAAATTGCTCTGTGGCTCTTGACAATGTCAACATCAGTAAGAATCGTTACACCGATGTATTACCCTGTAAGTTCAAACACCATTCAAACCTTTGTTTTACTGAATTTTCCATTTGAAAACTAAAAGTTTTCCATTATTAACTAGTCCAATATGATAGCTGTAACGTTGTATAAATAATTTCAGTTGACGAGACTAGAGTTGTGCTCGACTCTTGTAAGGATTACAGACCTTCTGCAAAGGGTTATATCAATGCAAGCTTTATTTCCGTAAGTGCAATAATTGATATGCTTCTACTTAGATAATATTTCAGTACAAGTATCTCTTTTGAGTTTCCTTTCCATTGTCTATTTGAATATGCAGAGTTCCTCCTCAGAAAGCCTTTCTAAGTTTATTGCCACACAAGGTCCGTTACCACACACTTATGAGGATTTCTGGGAGATGGTATTGCAGTATAAATGCCCTGCAATCTTGATGCTTACTCGTCTCATTGATAATTACAAGGTAATATTCTGTATGAACTACATGTTAATTTTAATTTCCACAAGATTTCGTTTGTGAATAAAAATGTTCTAGAAAGGATTGAAAGCTTTGATGGAACTAATGTTGATACGTTCTTATTACCTCCTTGTCGTATGGAGGAGACCGATAGACGTGAACAATTGTCTTCTACTAGATTAGGATCCATAGTATTATCCTCAATGGGTGACTGAAAAGAAAGGAGCAGCCCACTTCTCAGAGTATAGTTTAAGGGATAAGCAACAATGTCACGATTTGAACTTCTTTAACATACAAAGACCTTGACGACTCAAGAGCTTTAATGGATGCGTCAAAAGGAGACGCATGAATCTCAGAAGGAGGAAAATACCCACCCCTATCTCCAAATCTAATAAACACATTCCCCCATTTTTATCCTAGATTTCTATTGAAGCGGGAAGAAAGTTACACACAGTTCTTTTTACTTCAATGAGGCTAACTGCAATTTAACATATTAAGAGTTTGGGAAGAAATACTCTCAAGACCACCAAAGTAATAACCGATAGCTTTACACGTCCTTCGATCCCAATAGGTCAGAGGCAAGTTTTTGATGGACATCCACACATAACCCTTAAGATGCGGATGACTTTACTTTTCACGAGGTCACTTTTCAATATACAAATGTAAATTACCAGAGTCTCCATTTACCTTAAGAATCAAAAGACATGAATGAGTTTCCACCCTTAAAATTTAGTGAAGCCTTGTTTTCCATGAAATGATTAATTGAAACAAAGTCCTTAAAGTTCTCTTCCAAAACATCATTAATCTCCTTCCAATTGTTGTGAGTGAATAGCCTAGAAACAACCATAAGCTCGCTAAGATTCAAATTCACCACTTCTAGGTCTTTCTTCACCCATTGAGAATAAGAATAATGCAACTTTTCAACTGTGCTTAAAATATTGTCTTATTTGTTGGATGAACACGACTCTCCATTAGTGTAAGGCCTTCTGGAGAAGCCCAAAGCAAAGTCATGAGAGCTTATACTCAAAGTGGATAAGAGTATTCCTTGATTATAAACCCATGACCATTCCCTAAATTAGCCGATGTGGGACTTTCATCCGACACCTCCCCTCGAACAAAGTACGCCTCCCCTTAATCAAGGCTTGACTCCTTTTTCTTTTGGAGTCTTAGTCATTTTTTACTATGCCTTCAAGGAGCCTTTACTCTTTTTTTTCTTTTGGAGTCCTTTGTTCGACATTTGAAGATTCTATTAATATGGCTAAGTTTAGGGCATGGCTCTGATACCATGTTAGATGAACACGACTCTCCACAATGGTATGATATTGTCCACTTTGAGCATAAGCTTTCATGGCTTTGTTTTGGGCTTCCTCAGAAGGCCTCACACCAATGGAGAGAGTATTCCTTGATTATAAACCCATGACCATTCCCTAAATTAGCCGATGTTGGACGTTCATCCAACATTATTGATGGGAAGCCCAAGTCCCTGTTTTCCGTTCAAGTCCTTTGATACATCCCGCACATTACAACTAAAAGAAGAACAATTTTTTTTCTAAGGCGTCTTAGCTAAACCCTTTAAAACATGGGAGTTGTCATCATAATTCTTGAGGAAGTCTTTTAGCATTTCTTAGAAAATATACCAACTTTTTTTTTAAGGAACTCACAGGGAATTGAATTTACTTTCTTCCTCCAAAGGTGGCCAAACAATGCAATTATGAACCAACCAGAATAAGACCTTCGTTTTGACAAACGAATTGTACCACTATCAATCTCGAGTTTGCTTTTGAAAGTTCATAGACATTAGAAGAAGCAAAAGATCCACAAGCGAGCCTTCCAACTAGTGGAAATGTGGTAACGAGAGAGGAGTAATCAACTTGTTCTTCACTACTTGAACAAAGAACACACCATTTGCAAACCAAATGCTAAAGTTCTTATTATCAACATAGCAGCTCCTTTCAACCATAACTTATGGGAAAAAAGAAAGTGCAAAAAACGAAGTTAAGAATCCTTCGGCTGGCAATTAGACAAATGGCGATAGAGCTGATGGACTACAACAAAAACAATAACTAAGAAAGAAGGTGTGTTGACAGCAGGCAATGGCGACACACGACTGTTGAAGCTAACCCATCGGAGAGATAGAAGAGCTTTTGCAAACTAGAACCAAAGTGTGATGTCCCGCATTGGTTGGGGAGGAGAACAAACCACAATTTATAAGAGTGTGGAAATCTTCCCTTAGCAGATGCGTTTTAAAGCCTTGAGGGGAAGCCCGAAAGGGAAAGCCCAAAGAAGACAATATCTGCTGGCAGTGGATCTGGGGCGTTATAAATGGTATCAGAGCCAGACACCGGACAGTGTGCCAGCCTTCTCGCTGTTCCCCGAAGGGGGGTAGACACGAGGTGGTGTGCCAGTAAGGACGCTGGGCCCCAAAGGGGGTGGATTTGGGGGCGGTCCCACATCGATTGGAGGAAGGAAAGAGTGCCAGCGGGGACGCTAGGCCTCGAAGGGGGCGTGGATTATGATGTCCCATATTGGTTGGGGAAGAGAACAAACCACCATTTATAAGAGTGTGGAAACCTTCCCTTAGCAGACGCGTTTTAAAGTCTTGAGGGGAAGGCCGAAAGGAAAAGTCCAAAGAGGACAATATCTGCTGGCGGTGGATCTGGGGCGTTACACAAAGAATGAGTTCATAAATGTGGATAGATATTGAAGCAGAGATCGCAAACAGGGACAACAGACAAAGGCAACTGGTCTACGACAATTAGATGATAATGAATAGGACCAGCGGTGGTGCGACTGAGTTTGGCAACGATGGCAACTAGAGTTAGGTTTGACGACAACGGCTAGGGTTAGGTCCATCAGGAGTAGAGAAAAAGCCTATTGGCTTTTGGTTCCTTGACTAAATATTTTAATCATTGTCTTATTATAAGAAGAAATAAGGGACTCTCAAATTTTCCTAATTTATATCACAACTATCACCAAATTCTATCACTATAGTCAATCCTGCTTAACTTTCTTGATTGTTTTATATCATTGTGATTTATAACTACAAATGCCTAACTTCTAATAATTTGTGCAGACGGTGAAGTGTGGAGATTACTTTCCAGCTGAAGATGGTAGTAGAGATTTTGGTAATCTAGTGGTAGTCTCCAAATGGATAAAATCTTCCAATTCCTCTCTTATACTGCGCCATTTGGAAGTGAACCATAAAGAGGTAATTTCTTACATGCTATTTCTACACGTGTATAACTTCTATACGTCAACCGAAACATATAAATACTAATGTTGCCTCTGGGTGTCATGTAGTTAGAGGGTCAGTTGGGTATATTTTGAAGGTGACAAGTTGGGTTAGAATTAGCATGTGTGTGCAAATAAAGTGCATAGGAAGTTGAAGATAGAGGGTGACGAGTCGGGTGTAAGGATTCTGAATATAGGAAAAATAACGCTAAAACTATATTGCCAATATCAATAATCTTTCTAGAGGGCTATCTTTCTCGACAATCCTCCATCGTGTATTGATTCATCAAAATTATCTGTATCTCCATCTCCCGAACTTCCTCTATGGTACGAAGCTAGTGGAAATGACACAAGAAACTATGGGGGAAAAAAAAAAAACCTCTTAGACCTCTAGTACACAAACTGAAAGAACACAATAATATCAAATTGAAATTGACTCGAGGTGAGAGTTGGAAGTAGGGTATCTTATGGTCGAAGGCAAAGAAAAAACTTGTTCTTACCTCGAGAATGAAACGCTCTACAAGTTTGATGACCAACCAATACATGAATGCTTCAAACATGTAAGACTAAAGCAAGGCTTACAAAAGGACATGCGTGAACACAATTAAGATAATTCTTCCTAAACTAAAAATGCAATAAAATAAAGCTATAAAAGTCTCTTACAGAATATAATCCATGATCTAACATATCTCCAAAAGGATCAAGTATATTTCTAAATTAATCAAAGAAACAAGCAAGGAAACTTCTCAAAAGAAGTTGGTTTGGGTCAGGTTGTGGGCTGTTGAAGGGTGTGCAGGGAGTTGGGCGGTAGACAGGGTAGAGGCACGTGTAAGGAGAGGCGACTAGCCTTGTGAGTAGTGGATTAGGTGTTGTGGGTGGCCAACAGGTGATGTGCTCAAGGTTGGCATGAACATCCTGTGAACAAATGTTGGCATGCACCCGGTGTCCCACGCATGCATCGATGTGTTGGCAATGTTGATATTGTGTGTACACATTGGTGAGCAAGCGTGAGCTACCAAGACAGGGCAGTTGTGCATGGTATAACTTCTTAGGAGGGTTTTGAGTCTTATTGTGCGGATACACGTGGCTGATTGGCAATGGACGTGTGTCGTATGCACAACTTTACTCCTTGGTCCTCTATGGCTTATCCCTTGATGCGTTTTGGTAGGTTGAGACTCATGGTATCATGATCATATCACACCATTCATAAATGAAAAACCCATAAATATATAAAAACTGAACGACTACCGAAATAAAGACCTTACTTCCTTTTGAAACCAGGGCTGAATAGACTAGAAGGGTACAATGACAGCTTCCCAATGCTTGAGTCGAGTGGAGCCAACTTATAAAAAAGCCAGCTCATTTAGTGAGCTGCTTTAACATGTGCTACTTCTGGTGAAATTCATCCCCCTTTACGAATTCCAAATGCTAAGGTTTTGAACCATAAAAAGATCTGCTCACGAAATTCTCCTCCGCTATCCTAAATCCTAACCCAAGCCCACTGTAAGTAGCTATTGTCCTCGTTGGGCTTTTCCTCAAGGTTTTTAAAACGCGTCTACTTGGGAGAGGTTTCAACATCCTTATAAATAATGCTTCTTTCTCCTCCCCAACCGATGTGGGATCTCACAATCCCCCCCCCCCCCCCCCCTCCCTTTCGAGGCCCAGCGTCCTCGCTGGCACTCATTCCCTTCTCCAATCGACGTGGAATCTCAAAGAACAAGCTACCACATTTTGAGGAATAGAAGCAGAATTTCATCAACACAAAACTTTTTTGCAAAAGTATAACTTTGTTGAACAAGAGAAGCAAGTATCTACTTACAACACTGTCAACCGAAACACCCAAAACTTCTGTGTTTAGCTCCTTAAATTCTTCATACCGATCACTGAAAGCAGTAATCTCTACAAAATAGGAGGTAAAATAAACACAAGTTCAAAGCAGCTCAAAACAATATTTGCTGAGCTTCAATTTGGTATAGTTTAGTGCAACAAACCTGTGGGGCAAACAAACGTAAAATCCAATGGGTAGAAAAAGAGAATCACATATTTCTTCCCAATGTACTCAGAAAGTTTAACCTGAAATCATAACACTTTAGATCAAATGTGAAGACGATGCAATCCGAACGGTAAACCTTTGAAACTTGCACATAATCTTTAACCAAACCTTTTATAAGCTTACTGTAATTCTACTCCAAAAATCATTGCACTAATACAGTCTGATGACAACAAAGAGGAATAAACAGTATCCAAAACCTAAGCCATGGAGAATTACCTTGATAAATTCCTGGTCAAAAACTGCCTCAGCCTCAAAATCTGGTGCTACATTTCCAACCAATGGCAACTCACTCTGTAAAAACAAATAATGGAACACAACGTCAGAAGTGGAACCCTCAAAAGAAATAACTCGCATGTTCATATTTTGAGTTGCAAGACGCTGATTTCTGCCTTGCACGAACAAATATCATAAGTTACATATACAATATACATGAAAATTCTAATAGATACAAACTGTTTAAACTCACCCTGCATGACTGAATCAATAATCTGACTACGTGAAGAAAAATNTGGGACCCTCCAATTCACTCTCCTTCGGGGCCCAGCATCGTTGCTGGCACACCGCCTCGTGTCCACCCCCTTCGTGGCTTAGCCTCCTCGTTGGCACATTGCCCGGTGTCTGGCTCTGATACCATTTGTAATGGTCCAAGCCCACCTCAAGCAGATATTGTCCTCTTTGGGCTTTCCCTCAAGGTTTTTAAAACGCGTCTACTAGGGAGAGGTTTCAACACCCTTATAAAGAATGTTTTGTTCTTTTCCCCAACCTGTGGGATCTCACAATCCACCCCCCTTTGGGGCCTAGCGTCCTCGCTGGCACTCATTCCCTTCTTCAATTGATGTGGGACCAACCTATCCACCCCCTTGGTAGCCCAACATCCTTGCTGGCACACCGCCTCGTGTCCACCCCCTTCGGGGCAAAGCCTCCTCACTGGCACATCGTCCGGTGTCTGGCTTTGATACCATTTTGAATGGTCCAAGCCCACCGCAAGCAAATATTGTCCTCTTTGGGTTTTTCCTCAAGGTTTTTAAAACGCCTACTAAGGAGAGGTTTTAATACTCTTATAAAGAATGTTTCGTTCTCCTCCCCAATCGACGTGGGATCTCACACCTATAATGTACATAAGAATATCAAATCAGATACTAAAACACTCAAACAGGAACTACGAGCATTCTACTAATATTGCTTGATGAAAAAGACAAACTAATGGAAGAAATACGTAAAAGCATTAGCAAATCACTCACAAATATTAGGTTTTATACTTTAAGTCATAGCTAGTAACTCTTTTTAAGAGTTCTCCAACCCCCAAACTTGAATTATAACATGTCCCTAACTAATACAAACCTCATGAATCTCCCCTAAAATTTTAACCATCAGTAAACCAACTACCCTAGCTAGAGAATTTGTTTCTACCTTGTATAGCTCTCCATTGGGCTCTTCTTTCCACAAATCGCTCTATCAAGATTAATTATGCTGCAAAACTTTCTGCTGTAATGTTATCTTATTAGTTCCTAACTTAACTTACCTATGCTACAGTCTCATCATTCTCTTGCTAAAACCTATAAACGCTTAACTAACCCGTTAGTTCCCAATCGCTAATACAACCATTACTTGAATCCTCAAACTCACTATGCAATCTTTAACCAATTCTTATTCTTTAACTTTGTGATATCCCACATTGGTTGGGGAGGAGAACGAAATACCCTTTATAAGGATGTGGAAACCTTTTCCTAGTAGACGTGTTTTAAAGCCTTGAGGGGAAGCCCAAAGGGGAAAACCCAAAAAGGACAATATCTGCTAGCGGTGGGCTTGGACCGTTACAAATGGTATTTGAGCCAGACACCGGGCGATGTGCCAGTGAAGAGGTTGTTCCCCGAAGGGAGGTAGACACGAGGCGGTCAATAAGAACGTTGGGCCTCGAAGGGGGGTGGATTTGGTGGGAGTCCCACATTGATTGGAGAAAGGAACGAGTGCTAGCGAGGACGCTGGGCCCTAAAAGGGGGTGGATTGTGATATCCTACATTGGTTGGGGAAGAGGACAAAACATCCTTTATAAGGGTGTGGAAAGCTTTCCCTAGCAGACGCGTTTTAAAGCCTTGAGGAGAAGCCCGAAAGGGAAAGCCCAAAGAGGACAATGTCTGCTAACGTTGGGCTTGGGTCGTTACAAACTTACTAGCTAAAACCTTTCTTTTTCAATCACTCTTAGAGAATCCCTAATGTCACATCCTTCGTTCTTGGAACGACAAAAATTTATGATGAGGTGTATCCTAACATCTAGACTCGTCTCCTAAAACGAATAGTACTCATTCTCCAATCAAGATTAAGACCAGCCTTCTTGTTACTTCCTTCTTGCTCCCAGAATGGCAAAGTTGGTAATGAAGCTCATCTAACTTCTGGGAAGGTTGTAACTTTAAGGCAACCACTCAACCCTTCTTTCATTTTGATTCTTTTTTTCTTGTGTGTGGGCAAAGGCATTACTTCCGCCTTGGGAGACACTTTTGTGGATGATAAACAATTGCTCTCCAATTCTTGTTTCAGATTGTTAGTTTCTAACTCCTCCATTGTGGATTTTGCATATATCTTTGTATGTTTCTCCTGCATTTTCTGCTCGAAACTATCCGTAACGAGCTCACCCAGAACCCGAATCATAGAACAATTTTCAACATCAGTGGGGTATTTCAGGTTATCATAAACATTGAATTTCACCTCCTGATCATTCACTCCTATAGTCAACTCCCATTTATGAGGATCTTCCTAAGATGGTGGGTACATTTATGTCAGCCTCATGGTCCAAAATGAAAAAAGTACTTGTCAACTCGCACTGAAATACACTAATTTCCCTTCAGGAAAGGTAGTGGACCTATGTGCAAGTTGCAAAGTGATAGTGGTGAGCCTAGCTTCTCCTCTGCCTAATTTCTGATAAACAAAAAGAGGCATAAGGTTTATGCTAGCTCCAAGGTCACAGAGGGCTCTAAACAACTCTTTCCCTCCTATGTATATAGGGATGCTGATAGTGTCAGGTTCTTTCGCCTTAGGAGGAATTTGATCCTTCGAGATTGCGCTGCATTCCTTAGTCGAAGAGACCGTTTCATACCCGCCCAATCTCCTCCTCTCCTTGGTGAGAATATCTTTGAGTAATTTTACATAGTTGGGCCGTTGTTTCAAAACTTAAACCAATGGAATATTTATCCACTGATTTCTTGATGTTTTTAAGCACCTTCGTATAAATATTGAAACATAACATTAGTTCCATTGTTTATGCATGAGTTTTGGTTATAGTTTAATACAAACATTCTTAATCCTTACCTAATGGTGATTAGTTCATGTTACAAGCTGAATTATATATATGTGTGTGTGCGCGCGCACGTGTGTATGTATATATACACATAAACTAAATGAACAAGCCATCAAAGAAAACAAACTACAGTAGACTAAAGTTCAGAGGAAGAAAGAAGCTTCCCATTGGTTGATTCGAGCTGATTCAACTTATAAAAGAGCCAGCTCTTTAAGCTCATTTAATGAATTGCTTTCACACGTGCTCTTTTCATTCATTCGTGCGACTCTTCGTGGACCTATTTTGTGCTTTTACTAAGCTCCGAGTCGCGTTTCCCTCTCCATTGGCTTTCTAGTCAGAAGAACGTGTGGCTGTTCTACATATTCAGTACCCAGAATGGCCCGACCATGGAGTTCCTAATGACACACTTGCTGTTCGTGAAATGTTGAAGAGGCTGTATCATTTACCACCCGATCTCGGCCCAATAGTGGTGCACTGCAGGTACAGCCTATGTCCATCATCGTACGACACACAGTGCTCGTTCGCTTTATCTGAGGTTATTTCACTTCTTCAGTGCAGGTATTGGAAGAACTGGAACATATTGTGCAATTCATAACACAATTCAGAGAATCCTTATTGGAGACTTGTCTGCTTTAGATCTTGTCAGTACCATTTTTACATTTAGATCCCAGCGAATTGGAATGGTTCAAACACTGGTAAACTAGCCTCTCTCGTTCTATATCTGTAGCCTCCTAATTGTTCTAAATTGTTTGTCCATGAAAAGGTCGTTATATGCACGATAACGTAACCGTTGCTGCGCTCGTATAACCATGAGTTTATTTGCCTTTGTTGGTTTACTCCTAACAAACTTGCAACTCCTCTGTCTATTAGGATCAATACTTTTTCTGCTATAGAACCATCGTTGATCAACTACAAGACCTTATATCTGTCCCACAGTAGAGGCTCGAAGCGGTATGACTGTCTTCTTGACTCGTTTTCTAGCTTTTTTTAATGTTGCTCATGAGTCCAACGAAGTGCGGTGACTAGTAATATCATGTCTAACCGAGTTGCGACTGCTTGTTAATCTTTTTTCAGACGGATTAATGACCGACCGTATGCGGGGTTGGGATCTTGCTTAATAAAGAGCTTGCTGGATTTGATCTTCTCAGCGTTGATGAAATCAGCAGCTGTGGTTCCAGGAGGTTCGTTTTCTCGAGCAGCCGAGTATGAACACTGTTCATTGTGGTCACAGTGAATGTGCTAACCAACTAATTTTTCTCTTATGATGCTCACCATTGATCATTTCAGTAATTTGCTTAAACTGAATAGAATTGAACCATTCTGAATTCAGGCATTGAATTCATGAGCTTCATATATTTTGTGGCAAACATTTGCCACCCAACTGATTGTTCTTGGGTTTTAATTGGACATTCCTTGCTGAATATCATTACAAGTTTATCGTCTCCTTCAGTTTGACAATGGTACGTCTTGTAGTATGCTTAGTTACAAACATGCCCTTAGCGGGTGACGAGTTATTTTCATCGAAACTATTTCAAATGGGATTTGTCCTGTGGACACACGAGCAATCCAACACGTAGGTTTCTCAGTACTCGGGAGATCCATGAGAACTCTGACCTATATCGTTATTTTATACATATTCGACAATGTCTTCAATAGATCTAACTTTGTCTTCTCCTTGACGATGTTGAACGTCATGTTTCTAGACAACGTCAACTAGATCAACCCTAAGACTTATTGATTCTTGAGCTTTTGGACAACATCAACTGGATCAACCCTAGAATCTACCAATCCTTGAGTTTACACTTTATTTTTGGTCAACGCCAATTGGATCAACCCTAGAGCCTACCAATCCCTGAGCTTCCACCACGTTTCTAGAGACTAAGCACTTTTTTTCTCGGTGATTCCCTTAAAGTAGCAAACGGTGTCTAATTCGTTAAAATAAGTCAAGTATCGTTTCATGGCTTCTATTTCGTCCCAAACTCAAATGGATTAAAGCATTACTCGAAAATCTCGAAGTAGATCATCCCCACACCACAAATTTATTTCGTAACAGTTAACCAACATTACATATTACTCAAATCTTAATCTTTACGAAATCATCCGAAAAACAACCATTTCTTTATCTTCTCCGCAATCTCCATACTCCAACTTTATAAGAACGACTACTATTAATTTAAGAGCACACAAACATTTAAAAAATTATTATGTAGACATTTTAAACGTGGAATAATAATTTAAGAAGAAATTAATTTTAATAAAAAAAAAATAAATGACTAATTATATAATCAATTGTTTGATTGAAAAGGATTGACTTTTCAACGATCCCAAAGTCAAATTTCCTAAATTAAAATATAAATGAGAAACAAAATCGGTTGTCATTAAATAATTTTGCATTAAAAATAAAAAGGGAGAAATTTCTAGTCAAACCTTTAATTTTTAAAACAATGATAATTTATATGTTTTTATTTTTTAAAATTATAATGTTTTTCAAACTTTGACTTATAAAAAATGAAACATATGTTCTAAGTTGGAAAATATTTTATTAGGTTAAATATTATTTTGGGTTTTCAATTTCAAGTCAATTTTTATGAAAAATTGTTTATTAATTATAATTATTATTTTCATATATATATATATATATATATATATATATATATATATATATATATATATCCCCACTCTCACGGTTCACTCCCCGGTATCTCTACCTAACCAATTTGTCCCTCACTCACTCACGCACAAACTTACCTCTGCGCAGGGAATGTTAAGTGTGTCAATGTAGCGACCCGAAATTTTTTACTTAATTTAAGGTCGTTACTGTATACATATCATAAATATTAAATGTGAAAATACTTCATTTAAACTTTCATAAAATATAACATTCCGCTGGACTTACGTGTTTTGAAAACACTTTTAAGAATGACACAACAAAAAACTAAATAAAATAAATAAACGTATAAATTAAAAACATCATATTCTAGCCTAAGTCTAAGAAAATAAATATTACTACCCTATGCATGTGTCATGGTCTTGAGTTGCGATGTCGTCGTCAGCTGTACAGAAATGTATTGTCTTAACCTGAAAAATGTAGTAGCACGTGGCTTGATTATTTAAAGAAAGTGACCCCACTATTGAGGTTAAATGCAAGAACATGCAAATGCAATGACGGGACCTATCCTTTCAGTCTATTTTCTTATGGTACTATCCGGGTAACTTGAATGTGTACCATATGCTTTACATACAACCCATATGTGCGAGTATGGACTCACTAGTCAGTTCACACACTGCTGAGCCACTTGCCTTATCAGGCGAGCATACTCTGTGAGCTCCTTAGGCCAGGTACCTATTAGAATTGGTAACCGTCACGACACATTATGTAAAACATAATGATCGTACCCCTGCCCATTAGTGTACGCGTCCGTACCATCGTGATGAAATAGGGGTATCCCCCAATGCATGAGCACACATAATGTATGAGGTCCCAATATTTTTTCATTTTCAACATTATTAGATATAATCCCGCTATCGTTTTTCATTCATATCGTATCATTTATCATTTTTATTTCTCATATCATACATAATTCTAACGGGGTTATATTTTATGTCATTTATCGTGATCTCATGTCATTCCTATCATGTTGTATACACACAATTTAGAACACATAACATAATGTTTCATGCTTTTAACATAACATTGTCATCATATACATATCATATGTATCACAATATATCATATCATAAATATGTCAATTTATCACATTATCTCGTACCATAACATATTCCATATCATTTTCATATCATATGACGAGATATATATATATATATATATATATATATATATATATATATATATATCCGTCATTCACCTGTCGTATCATCATCATATCATATCGTAAACACTTCGTGGTCATATCATTCCTTAACTTATCATAGTCTTAATGTTCTTATACATATTATAGTCGTATCGTTACATGAACGTACCTTAGTCATATCATTACAGGAACGTATCCTAACGCTACCGTTCTATCAATCTATTACAATCCTATCTCTTTCTACCCATAACCTAATCGTATTCTTTTATCAATCGATCGTGACCATATTGTGTTTATCAATCTCTCATATCCATAGCACTTCGATACATAACCTAACCTTAACGTTCCATGAACATATCTTACTCCTATTATTACTTTACATTTAGTGCATCCTTCTCGTATCCTATCTCAAACATATCATTGAACACATCGTACCGTAAATATTATTATACAATTCACATATTATAACATATACACATCATATCATAAGCATATTGATCCATAAACAATTCACACATATCAATATATGACACGCACGGGTTATGTGTCAATATCAAATATATCTATGTCGATAGTAAGGCCCACTTACCTGATTAGCTTAGGCTGGTGTCACCAATTTATCTTTAAAAAAGTTCGATTTTGTTCTTTGTATTCAAGTCAACCTATATGAACCATGACATCAATTTCAATTTCAATTCTCTAAATTTTACAATGATCTGTACGTTAGACTTCATGTAAGCAGTAGAGACTTTATGAGTAGAGTTTCTTAACATGATATTTCTTTTATTTTTTTAACGTTCACGGAATCTTCCATTTTCCTCTATTAAATTTTCTTTTTTTCCTCTACTTCCCTTCATATTAATTTTAATTATGTTCACCATTTACTCTATTAAATTTCATCTCAAATTCGTCTACTAACCTATACGCTACTAAATAGAAATGCATTTCAACATATACTAACCTATAGTTTTTAATAATTAAATACGAAACTATCTTAAGCATGTGCCACAATCTCATAGTTGTGATGTCATCTTCAACCGTACAGGGGCGCCTTGCCTTTACCTGAAAAATAAAGTAGTATGTGGCTTGAGTATTTTATGAAATACTCAGTGAGCGACCTCCCTATCGGGGTTAAATGCAAACACATACAGTTTCATGCATGGGACCTATCATAACAGTCTATTTTCCTAGGACGGGCTATCTTAATGACCAATTTGGATGTGTTATTAATTTTCCTACACCGTGCCATTGGAAAATTTGAAAAATAAATAAATAAATAGAAAAATAATAATACCAACTAATCACATCTCTTCTCCAGACTATCATGTCCGGTAGGAACACTATGCAAAAAAATAGAGAAATGTCATGCATTATAAGTATATGTCATGTTTTGATGTTAGGAGACCTCATGCATTCTACTTATATCACGTGCATTGAGATACTTCTCCATTATGATTAGTATGGACATAGACCTTTACAATATTTATTTTTGACATGATATTATACAAGCCTTTTTCCTTTGTAGCGTTTGACAACTTGAGCATGCACTAACCCAACGAGCCAAGCCCAAGGGTACCTGATAAGATATGGAATCAACTACAAGGGGAATAAAATTCGGATTACCTTGTTGATCGAATATCTCAAGCCAAGAACACTTTGTTTGAGATTCGAATCACTCCAGAGGCAAAGATCGATCATGTCTAGCTTCAATGATTCTTGTTGATCAAATATCTCAATGCAAGAACACTTGTTTGAGATTCGAATCACTCCACAAGCAAGATCGATCATGTCTAGCTTGAATGATTCTTGTTGATCAAATATCTCAACGCAAGAACACTTTATTGAGATTCGAATCACTCCACAAGCAAGATTGATCATGTCGAGCTTGAATGATTCTACATGCAACCTAAACTACATAGAATTGCAAAGAAACTTAGCCATTGGCTAAAGAAAAGCACAAATGCTTCTTTTACTGTATTTTCCAAGTCTACGTTACAAATACAAGATACATGGCTTTATATAGCCTCAAAATGAAACTATTAAAGGCATTCCAAAAGTTGTAACATTCATACTTAATAACCATAATTAACCATTATGTAAATGTAACCTAAAGTAAATAAAATGTCTTAAAATACAATAACTCTAAATTACTTTAAATTGTAACCCACCCAAAATTTATAACCATCAAACTTCATTCCTCTTCAATGTGACATGAATTGCAACCTCTTTTGATAATTTTGACAACATTTTCTTCACATCTTCATTGAAGTATATTGTATGAATGATGTCTCTTGGTTCATATCAGTACCTCTACGAGCTCACCTAGTGGGCCCATGTGCACATGCGTGGGTCGTGTGTAGGGAAGTACTACACATCCAACCCTAATCATATGGAAAGTAGAGCCTAAGGTCATATTGTTTTTACGAAAAGATAAATCTCACCATGATTGTTTATGTTTGTATTTTTGGACCGTAATGGTGAGGTTTAGGCTACTTATTGAGTATTTTTTTAATACTCAAGCCACGTGCTGCTTTTTTTTTTAGATAAAGGTAAGACATTCCTGTACGAATGACAACATTCTTGTGAAAACCAAGGAACCTAAGCTTGGATAGTTCCATTTATGTTTCAATTATAGCC